TGATGAGATGATGTAAAGATACAGTAATGAGTGCCGCAATATTATACAAATACAGACAAACAATGTACATGTTTTTTGGGATTCAATCCTATAAATATCCAACAATGGAGCAGTTGTAGTCTGTATTCGATAAACTGCTATGTTATTTTTATTTATTTTTTTAAATGTAACAGAAGTAACAGAAATAATACGTTAGCTGTTCTCCAGCATTCACCTAGACTACCCGAGGAGGGCAGTGTTGTATCTTCCAGCATACTGTCGGAAATCCGACAGTAGAAGAAATTTTGACTGGTGTTTCAGTTACGTTTCCCATAACACTGTAGCTGTGGCGCCAAGTTTTTATTCCAAGTTTATCTTTGGAGTGTCCTTAGTTCGAATTCAAGCTGTCTGTCCTTGAAAGTTGTTGTTTTTGCAAAACATTTGTGTTAGCAAGTCATGTATGACTCTTTAATTCTTCAGTATTCTTTGCAATAAAGGGAGAAACTATATAAGTTTTATTTATTATTTAATCATTTAAAACGTTTTATGGTTCCCTTTCAGTACATCTGTGCAAACAATTTGAATGAACTGATATTATGGTACATCTTTTTTTTAAAAATTGTTTAAAAGGTCAGTGTTGGAAGGTATCACCAAGTGCATGGATCGGGAACCTATGGCTCGCGAACCAGATGAGGCACTTTTGATGACTGCATCGGGTCTCAGACATTGCAATTTCTGGACTAAACACAATAAGTAATAAATAATTCTACTGATATTCAAGTAAATCGTTACAGAAATCACAGTGTTCAAATAATGTTAAAAACCAAAGTCAGTCCATTTTGCAGAAACACACACACACACACACAAGGCACTTTTGATGACTGCATCGGGTCTCAGACATTGCAATTTCTGGACTAAACACAATAAGTAATAAATAATTCTGCTTTTATTCAAGTAAACTGTTACAGAAATCACAGTGTTCAAATAATGTTAAAAACCAAAGTCAGTCCATTTTGCAGAAACACACACACACACACACACACGTCTCATGCTGAAAATATAAAGTAAATACAGTTAATGATAAACTGAAAATAGTCAAATAAATTGATGACAGCAGAGCCCGGCTGTGGCTTTCTGGGGTTCACGATGGTAATCCGATGGTAATGACTGTACGTATTTTTCTTACGTGGTGTGTGATAAACTGTTTTGTGAAACCATATATTTGTAACTCCTACATATTTTAATCCCATATCTTTAATACATTTTTAATACTTCAGAGACTTATTATACACTAAAGTTATTGGTCTAAAAATTCACATATTAGTTGTATTGTATTGAGAGCAAAAAAAAAAATATTGTATGGCTCTCACGGAAATACATTTTAAGATTTTCAATTTTAATGGCTATATGCTAAAAAGGTTTCTGACCCCTGACCGAGTCTGTATGATTTTTTTTTTTTTGTTAAATAGAGTTACAGTATATTATTGTAAATAAGAAATAATAAGAAAAAATAATTAAGAAGCTGTAAATAATAAGAAAAAAATATTTATTTATTTATATCTCAAATGCCTTAAATTAAAAATAATTAGTAATGACATTGCCATCAAACATGTCCGAAAACATTGTTGGTGTAACTACAACAACAACAAAATTAAATGTCCTAGAAATCACCAAAAAATGCAGCAATTTTAAACAAAATTTACATCTGTGTAATTAGAGGAAAAAATCCACGATACCCTAAAGCTCAGCTGAGGCAGATCAATAAAGTAAGGTCAAGCCTAAATAATGCTAACAAAAAAAAACCTCTGCAATGTCTAAAAAGCTAATAATCAGCCGTAACTCTCACTCTTTTGATTTAAATTCACAACAATCATATGTCATAGCTCTGCAACAAGTACAGCATATATGCTCACGCAATGCTGATGTATGTGTATGTCTGTACATGTGTATGCATATTTAGATGTATATGTGTGCAGGTATATATATGTATGTGTGTGTGCGTACATATATATGTATATGTATAGTGCATATATGTAGATGTGGGCGTATGTACGTGTGTATGTGTATATGCATATTTATAGCTTACATATATTAAACTATTATATATAT